GTGTACATGGTTCATCACTGAATGGTGTACATGGTTCATCACAGAATGGTGTCCATGGTTCATCACTGAATGGTGTACATGGTTCATCACTGAATGGTGTGCATAGTTCATCATGGAATGGCATCCCTGGTCCCAAGGAATACTGATCTATATTACTGGTCAATAAAATATACAATAACAATGACCACAAGTTAAAGCCTCTCTTGAGAAGTACAATAACAATGACCACAAGTTAAATCCTCTCTTGAGATGTACAATAACAATGACCGCAAGTTAAAGCCTCACTTGAGAGGTAGAACAACAATGACCGCAAGTTAAAGCCTCTCTTGAGATGTACAATAACAATGACCACAAGTTAAATCCTCTCTTGAGATGTACAATATCAATGACCGCAAGTTAAAGCCTCACTTGAGAGGTACAACAACAATGACCGCAAGTTAAAGCCTCACTTGAGAGTTACAACAACGACCCCAAGTTAAAGCCTCACTTGAGAGGTACAAAAACAATGACGGCAAGTTAAAGCCTCACTTGAGAGGTACAACGACGACCCCAAGTTAAAGCCTCACTTGAGAGGTACAACAACGACCCCAAGTTAAAGCCTCACTTGAGAGGTACAAAAACAATGACCGCAAGTTAAAGCCTCACTTGAGAGGTACAACAACGACCCCAAGTTAAAGCCTCACTTGAGAGGTACAACAACAATGACGGCAAGTTAAAGCCTCACTTGAGAGGTACAACAATGACGGCAAGTTAAAGCCTCACTTGAGATGTTTAAAAAAAAATCCTTTACTTCACTTTTATGATGCCTTGCATCGATTTTCTTTTTTTTTCCAGCTGGCTGTACGTGCGCTGGATGGACCCCAACTCCACCATGATGAGAATCATTGCCGTGTGGATACTGATAGTAGCCTGGCAGATGGTGGAGCTCAACACGTTCTTCCTGAAGCACATCTTCTTCATCCCACCATCTCATATGCTCAACCTGATACGTTTGCTGCTCATATGCCTCATTTCTGCCCCTACTATACGGTAAGCATCTGTCAGCATCTGCGGTAAGCATCTGTCAGCATCTGCGGTAAGCATCTGTCAGCATCTGCGGTAAGCATCTGTCAGCATCTGCGGTAAGCATCTGTCAGCATCTGTGATCCAATTAACTGGCCGACAGTTCTGGCCGACAGTTGTTGTTTTTCACTTTGAATTGAACCACTCATCTAACATGGTCACACAAAATATGCTGAGGTGGCACTATGAACATCAGATGACCCTAAATCAGAGGTTCTCAAACCTTTTTTTTTTTTTTTCGTGACACGTTTATTTTTATACTTCTCCTTTGTGTCCTGCTAATATTTGTATCGCCTGTACAGGCTTGTATCAGCCTTTGTTGGCCTATGTCGGCATATACCAACCTTCACTACTGGCCTGTAGGTAACATAACAGTTATCATGTGTTATAATAAATTAATCGTATAAGACTAAAGAAATTTTTAAAAACGACCCATAATTTATTCATGACAAGCCTTGTGCTGTTTCTTTCTGACTAAAAAGCCAGGTTTTAGGCTTATCGCTAGTATGCCATGATGGCTTATCGCTAGTATGCCATGATGGTTTATCGCTAGTATGCCATGATGGCTTATCGCTAGTATGCCATGATGGTTTATCGCTAGTATGCCATGATGGCTTATCGCTAGTATGCCATGATGGTCTATCTTAGATTTACACCGGTTTTGTATTTTTCTCCTTTAAACGACATGGTAATTTGGCTTTATGGGCCTGGTAGTGGGTCGGGCCAAGCATTTGGGAAACACTGCCTTCATTCCCAAAAACTGGTGTGTAAATGGGAAGAGACTCTGTGTGCCAGGGGGAAACAACAACAATTCAAAGTCAAAAAAGAATTGAACATCTGAAACATTTCTACTTGTTAATGGCAGGAAACAAATTGAACAGAGCTCAGTAGAGAGTCATTGAGGAGACCAGACCAAATTCGACACTCTTTATTTTAATAACAGGAAATGTAAGAGAAAAAAATCAATCTATATAGAATCATTGAGAGTCCAGGGCCAAAATGTTTTTTGGTCTTAACATTTTAGAGATGTGTAAGGTTTTTTGTTTTTTTTTAATAAATACAATTTTAAAATGCATTATATGTCACAGTGAGGACATGATATTATATTCTGCCCTGTGGCTTCACTTCAGAATTTCACTTGTGGCATCAATACTTCGACTTTCCAATGTATTTTGATATTTTAATATTTTTGTTATTTTTGATATTTTTAATATTTTTGATATTTTAATTTTTTTAATATTTATATTTTAATATTTTTGATATTTTAAATATTTTTTATATTTTATCTGCGACTCTTGAATAAGTTCATTTTATTTCTATTTAACTATCTTTCTAACCATGTGACTAATAAAATATATATATATATACTAGTTGTAGCCCGCCAAACAGTGGCGGTGGCAAAGTAGGAACTTCCCATCTACTAAAGTGACTTGAAGAAACCTACCTTCAAGTCCAGCATTCTATAAGACTCCCATCATTGATCAATGAGGAGGGCCATGCTGTTTTTTGCTAACTCTAAACTCAAGGTTTCCATCAAAATAGACCATCCTGGGCCTGTCGCTAGTATGTCACCATAATCTAACCTATTTCAAACATTTTTTTCTTCTTTAAAGGACCAGACAATTTTACTTTCTTGCTGCCCCCCCCCCAACCCCATGTATACACCCCCTGAGCTGTATTACTATTCTAATGTCCACCTCCCACCCCCACATCCTGGGCCTGTCGCTAGTATGTCACCATAATCTAACCTATTTCAAACATTTTTTTCTTCTTTAAAGGACCAGACAATTTTACTTTCTTGCTGCCCCCCCCCAACCCCATGTATACACCCCCTGAGCTGTATTACTATTCTAATGTCCACCTCCCACCCCCTTTTATTTATGACACCATATTAAAATTTAGACTCTTTCATAAAATCATAAAAGCAGACGCACTTTTGTGAATATCACTTTGCAGTTTTCTGGCATTTAATTTTTCATGCTATTGAACACCATTGCGCCATACTTTCTTTCATACATAGAGATTTACATTGAGATATATATTTTATGATATATCATTTTATCCATCAGACAATACTATGTGTATGTAACTGACACCAGATGTAAGAGAGTTGGAACACAGCTCTGGGTTTTCTGGTAAGTAATACACCTAGCTGAAATCGTATCCGGAAATTTGTTTGAACGAAATTTCATCGACGTAAAATTGATAGACAGAAATTTGATCGAATGGAAATTTGGTCGAACGCATTATTTTGTTTAGTGCGTTCTACAAGACATTTGACGAAAATTTTAACATGTGAGCTGAAAAAAAAGATTCTACCAAATTTCCATTCTATCAAATTTCCGTCCATCAATTTTGCATCAACGAAATTTCTTTCAAACTAATTTCCGGTAACCAGCTGAAATAGATGTAAATTTATTTCAAGTGATGCTAAAACACACACATACACTCCCGTTAAATATTTTAGAGTAGAGTACTATTCTAAATCTCGACTGCATTATATTTGTGTCAATGGAAAGGGGGAATAACCATGCATACACTACAGTAAAAGTGCAAGATGTGACCAAAAATGTTGCCATGGCCAATCTCCCAAGTCAGAATTGAGACGTTCATTTGAAGCCAATCTCCCAAGTCAGAATTGAGACGTTCATTTGAAGCCAATCTCCCAAGTCAGAATTGAGACGTTCATTTGAAGCCAATCTCCCAAGTCAGAATTGAGACGTTCATTTGAAGATGTTCACCTCAGGTAAAGCTGACATAAAATAGATTAGTTCATATCAACTCGATATGTCACAGTCAAAATAAGGCGACATTTGCTTTCCCAATCACCGCCAAACAGACTTGGATCCAATATTTGCGACATTATTCTTTGACCATATATTTTATGCGCTAAAATCATCTAACCGTGCGTGAAGGGTCGGGTGTCAACAATGTTCTGTAACCAATAGCTATTCTATGAGATTGTGTCTTTCCTCCAGTGCCATAATGTTGACAGAGAGCATCATCTGCATCAAGTTTGGTCTCAAGATGTTTAGACAGACGGTGGCAACGTACATCATCACGTGGCTCTGCGTCCAGGCAAGTCTTGTAGTCGTTAGCCCGTCTTGATTTCGACTGTAGCATTTATTAGTTTGTTGAGCGAAGGTGCAGACAAGATCCTGTTCATAACAATCGACACTCTCTCCATGATATCTTTTTATACTAAGATGATGATCGCAATCAAAATTAACGTAGTATTCAATCCCAAGCGACTCCATTTAATCAACAACTTGTTGTCTTCAGATGGTGGGCAGTTTTGTCTGCATTTACCTGTGTGCACTATTTGCCGAACGGTGGAACAAATGGAAGGTGAGCAACAAAGCTTTTCTTGAAATGGCGATTAATTTAAATAGAAATCGTTTTAAACTATGCGAGCATAGCAATGTGCTGCAATATACTCCTATTTGACTTATATCATTGTATGTATTTGAATAGTATATTTTACTGAAATTGTATTAATGTACGAGCTTGTGTTGCACTGCATTGATGCTGTATCTCCTTTTTAACAAAAATCTATTTCCATTTAAATACTGAGTAAGGCAATGAACCTCATTATTTTTTAAAATAAAATCCGAGTCCTTTTAATGAGCTTGCCTTGATGATGGGATCCATGTTTGACTTTTATCGTTTGATCGTCCAAATATTTCTGTATGGCTTTTTTCTAGCATCTAACCCATGTCGACTGTTTTACATTTAAGCACTACCATGATGCAGACTCTCCCATCCGTGTATCCAGAATCAGGACAGACAGTACTGAAGCCTCCTCGCCCCCCACACCACCACCATATGGGACTCGATTTCCCCAGGATGCTCTGGAGAGTTCCTACAAGGGCCAGCTGACCGGCAGTGCCGAACCTGTCAATATGCACGTTGAGGGCCAGGAAAAGTTGCTGATAACGGATAACTACATATGTGCCAAAACTGACTCGCCGTCTAGTCAAGCCGTGTCCAACGGATATAAGCTCAGGTCAAGGTCACCCCAGCTGCGCTCACGGGTAGACAGGAGTGCGTCTAGTTCACCCAAATTCAGAACCGGCATCAACGGCAGCTTGTAATGTGTCCAGACGTCTTTGTAAAAATGAGAAGCGCCATCAGTCCCAAACAAGGAAACAAAGCCTCCGATAAAATGGAGGACGTTCTCTTGAAGAGCATCACGTAGTGTAGTTCTCTTGAAGAGCATCACGTAGTGTAGTTCCCTTGAAAACCATCATGTAGTGTAGCTTGTTGTAAAAGCCACCTTCTTCTGCTACCCACACTATTTAAATTCATACTAAATTCTGGCAGTGTTTTAAGTGCAGTTCACTGTCCGTCCGCATGACATCAAGAGGGCATTGAAGCTGTGGGAAAGTTTTCATCCAGTGAAGGTGCAAAGTTTGGCAGTGACTTATGTTAAAATTGAGAAATGTATACGAGGGCGTCTCTTTGTGTTTTTTACCACACTCCTTTAATGATTGTATATGTTGGTTGACATATTCGTAGCTCAGGTATGTGTAGACTCAACAAAACATTTTGTCAGCCCAAATCACTTACAGTTGCTGCACATTAATTATGACAGGTTTATTGGTCAATTACAGCAAATGAAATTTTATTGTTTTTTTTTTAACTTTTGAAAATGAAAAGGTATTTTTTAATTATACACGTTTGTTTACGTATTTTCCGGACATACTCGTAAATCATAATTCACAAAAATTAGCATGAGCCGTAGCCAGGGTGCCGGCTTTTAAAATTAGCATCTAACATCGGTCGGGTGGTATTGATTACTGTCTTTAACATCTACTTGTAAAGACGACCGGTTTTGTGGTCAACGTCAGAGCAGAACAGTGCTAAGTGACACATCAGCAAACGGTTACATATCAAATATACGAGCTGTCGTGGTCAGAATGGACCAACATAGTTTATGTGACTTGGTCATAAGCCTTCCGTAATGTTTGGAAAATTAACTTGACCAAATAAATGTATGACTGTCACTTTGTCAAAGCCAACCAGACAGACAGCACAAAACGAGTTTCTCTTGGTTCCAAATCTCAGACAGCCAACCAGACAGACAGCACAAAATGAGTTTCTCTTGGTCACAAATCTCAGACAGCCAACCAGACAGCACAAAGCGAGTTTCTCTAGGTAACAAATCTCAGACAGCCAACCAGACAGACAGCACAAAACAAGTTTCTCTCAGTATCAAATCTCAGACAGATGAGTTGTTCGGTTTGTTGTGTCTGGCGTGACTTGAGGCGCTCACAACAAAGGAAGACAACAAAGGAAGACAACAAAAGAAGACAACCTGAATATTTCTAGATCCCAAGAATTTCTCATCCTGGTGTTTTCTGATGAAACTTCACTGGATTATTAGTTCCATATCATCCATCTGGTGGATTAACTGATAAATTTAAAGTTTTATTGTTGAAGCAGTTCTCGAAGGCATATTACACCAAAGTTTGTCGATTGTGTCCGTGCATCGTCGTGTCCTTTTCTTGAAGTGGAAAGAACTTTAATAAAAGCAACTTGATCTGTCCATTTCAATCACAAGGGTTTGCGTATTTTACGTTTAATTAAATCCAAAAATAGCATTTTCACCGATGATCTGTCCATTTCAATCACAAGGGTTTGCGTATTTTTTGTTTAATTAAATCCAAAAATAGCATTTTCACCGATGATCTGTCCATTTCAATCACAAGGGTTTGCGTATTTTTTGTTTAATTAAATCCAAAAATAGCCTTTTCACCGATGATAATCTTGACTGAGAGTTTCTGGCCTTTGAATTGTGTTAAAATACTGAATAAATAAACCACAGCCACCAGCGTGTTCCTGGGGTCAGAGGTCAGCCTGGTGTTTCTGCTCTGGTGGTATTAGGACATCAGTCCCAGGGCTGTGCAGCAGATCATGTGATCAATATTGAGGTCTGGCCTCTGTCTGATGTTTCTATTCCCACTGTGAGAAGGACCTTCTTCCCAGGTGTGTACAGATAGGCTCGTCATGTGGATTTTTTCCTGTCGTATTTACAATCTTCCTCCATGTTGTCAGTAACACCAAGGCGTTGTCCCCCCCGTCCGTCCCCCCCGTCCCATCTTGATCCACACATTTAAACCATAATTTTTCCTTGTATATAAAACTGTTGTGTTTTTTGTGGTGATAATAACCCCAAGACTTACAATGTCCTTAGAGCAAATGTCCCGGTTGTCATTCCGTTAGTAGATTGTGTCATTAATAGGGGAGAGAAACAGGTTATGTCTTTGCCTAGGAACAAGTGTGTCAGTCTAGAGGTGTCATTCTAAAGGTGACAGTCTAAAGATGTCATTTTAAAGGTGTCAGCCGGTTCAAAGGTGTCAGTCTAAAGGTGTCATTCTAAAGGTGTCAGTCTAAAGGTGACAGTCTAAAGGTTTCAGTCTAAAGGTGTCAGTTAAAAGGTGTCAGTCAGTTTAAAGGTGTCAGTCTAAAGGTTTACTTGACCCGGGGCTAGGTGATAGAAAAGATGAAGAAATCAACTTGTGTGCTATGATAGAATAGAGCAGCGTTCCTCAAACGGTGGTCCGTGGACCAGCATCGGTCCGCAAGCCTTACGTTACCGGTCCAGAGAGCATAAATATTGATGTTTAAATAGAAAGAAAATATAATGAATAAATCTGGCACCGGTCCCTGGTTCAGTTTTGAAACTTGTCCACCGGTCCATGAAACTTAAAAGTTTGGGAAACGCTGGAATAGAGAACAGCCATTAAAGCGTTCTGGACATCTCAAGAGAAATGAAACAGTCAAAATGTGTAGCAGTAATGCTGAGGCCACACTTCATCAGCTTGTGGTCTTGGCCCTATGGCGACTGAACTGAGGCCACACTTCATCTGCTTGTGATAGTGGCCCTATGGCGACTGAACTGAGGCCACACTTCATCTGCTTGTGATCTTGGCCCTATGGCGACTGAACTGAGGCCACACTTCATCTGCTTGTGATCTTGGCCCTATGGCGACTGAACTGAGGCCACACTTCATCTGCTTGTGATCTTGGCCTTATGGCGACTGAACTAAGGCCACACTTCATCTGCTTGTGATCTTGGCCCTATGGTGACTGAACTGAGGCCACACTTCATCTGCTTGTGATCTTGGCCCTATGGCGACTAAACCGAGGCCACAATTTATCTGCTTGTGGTCTTGGCCCTATGGCGGCTGATGGTGTTTTAAATGTTGTAAATGGGCAGCTCCTTCTCAAACAAGTCTTTAGCCCACCAAACATATCAAATAGCCAAAATAATTTGTTTATTTTAATGTGGTTGTCTGATAAATGTCAATAAATAAGGTGCTACGGCTTGGTGCTACTGAGCTGGCATCTCCAGACCGACATTGATCGCTCAGACCAAAGTCACCTGGCGGCAGTGGCGTAGCGAGGATGTTTGGCGCCCGGGGACAAGATTCGCGCCCGGGGACAAGATCCATTTTTAGCGCCCCTTTTTCTTTTTTTCAACTCTCAAACCCATTATTTTCATCAATACAATAATATCAAAGCACATTTTGGCGCCCCTAACTAGCTGGCGCCCGGGGACATCTGTCCCTCCCTGCCCCCACCACGCTACGTCTCTGCCTAGCGGCAAGTGGGGAGAAATTTAAAAATAAAAACAGTTAATTGTACGCAGGTCTTACTGCAAAGGGGATCAGTCTTGGCGATCCATCACTGAAAAGTTTGAGATTCATTCTTGGCGATCCATCACTGAAAAGTTTGAGAAGCACCGCTTTAGATTGTCTGATCTCAAAAGCAAACGACATTTTTCCTATAAACAGACAAGGTATAATATTTGTGTATAGTTCAACCCTATTAGTGGAACAGGAAAGTGAGCTGACATGCCTGTCCGGTGACATTGCACCTGTACATGAACCTTTGAAAGTGACACCTCTAAGTGTCAGCTCCAATGGAATGTCTTCAATGGGGCTCTTCGACCGGTTGTATAGCTGTCAGGCTGTTAACCAGTTGTTGAGCTGTCAGGCTTTTAATCGGTTGCATAGCTGTCAGGCTGTTACCCCATTGTATAGCTCTCAGGCAGTTAACCAGTTTATAGCTGTCGGGCAGTTCACAAGTTGTATAGCTGTCGGGGTCTTACGTATGGGCTGCAAATTTTGTTTATAGTTTTGAACCCGGCTGACCAAAAAAGAATACGTTTCAGTGTAAAATGGCTGACGGTCCAATGAAACATTTTGTGAATGTGTCCTAGTTGTAGCAGCTCTTTTCTAACTTTGACAGAGACGTGAGCTTCTTCCCACGTGCCCATCTTCGGTTGTTCATTTATAAAGTACCGCTGCTGTTGATTTAATTGAATTCTTTTTTTAATTGAAACGAGTTGTCTTTTGAATCTGCCGCACACCCGTCCTATTTTGAACGTGTAATCTATCGTATGGTGCATCTCACCTTTTTTACCTGTATGCTCAAAATAACAAACTTAAGGAATACACTAGTGTACATTTTACAGGCTGAGGTTAGGAACTACCACAAACATTACTGGCTTGCATTTGAACTCATTTAATGAACCTTTTCTATTTAATCAGACCTCTACCAACCTGGCCAACTAGTTATTCAAACTTCAGTCAGGTTTTGTTGTTTATAGAGCTTTGTATATTATGCAAGTTATACTTTTTTTTTTCTTTTTTTTTTTAAGGCATTCTAAAACTGGGAGTGTGGTTGTCCTAACTTACAGGACCTGCTTTGCCAGAGCATGCTGTTGTCATGAGCATATTTCTAAGATAATGATGTATTTAGGGGTCGAAGAACATACATTGTAATAGGGATATTTTTTAATGTGACTTTCAAGGGGTAAGATTGTTGAGAAATATTTTGTTTTACTTTGATTAACAGCATGAGCTGTCCCTGAGTCAATACCGCAGAGTTGTGTATGGCCGCCGCCCATCACGGTTTACTTGTGCTAGAGAAATGTGAGGAGGGCCTGCTCTGGTTGTGCGTGTTACCATCTCGGGTTGTGTGTGTTACCATTTCCAGTTGTGTGTGTTACCATTTCCAGTTGTGTGTGTTAGCATTTCCAGTTGTGAGTGTTACCATCTGCGTTATACTGGTATTAAACTACGTG